CCAGAGTCTATGCTTTTAACTACAAACCTAGGCTAAAAGAGTAATTGCAATCCTTCTTTATCTTCCTTTTCAAATCAGATGTTACTTTGTAGCTAGACACAAAAGCATGTCACTAAATGTTTCAATGTTTTGCTTCAAGAGTCAGCCAGACATTCTGATGAAGACATAGAACAGCATGAAAGTATAACAACACAGGACAGGGAACAAGAGGTCAGGGCTAGGGCAGCAGCACTGGGGGCCAGACCACTGGGATTTTATTAGGATCGTGGCACATTAATAGAGAAGTATAGAGAAAATCAACAATTGTCTTTATTTAGATTTTCTTTTGCTAACAGCACTTCACAGTTTTTATCCTATAGATCCTAATACAATCTTGCTACATTTTAAATTCCAGGGACTTTTATGGGATTTTTGTTGTTGTTGCTATGAGTGGCATTTCTACTTCTATCATATTTTCTGACTAGCAGTTGTATCCAGGAAATATTTATAATTTTATGTATTTATTTTGTGAGTATCTGATTAAATTTTATTTATGTTATATGTTTATCTTATTATTTTATGTAAATTATAAATACATAATACTCTATACTATGGATATGCCATAATTTATTCAACCATTCTCTGACCGATAGGTGTTTACCTTTTTTCTAGTTTTTTGGCATTGTAAATACTGTTGCAGCAAATATCCTTAAACATATATTCCATCACACTCATGTTTTTATTTCTATAAGCAGAGCCAAAAGTACAGGGTATATTTTCACCCAGGGTGAACTATTGTACGTATTTCCTAAGACTCTCAGTGGAATCAGATTTTTTTTTTTAATGGTTATCTATTTTTCAGAGAGAGAGAGAGAGAGAGAGAGAGAGAGAGAGAGAGAGCGTGTGCGTGCACATGAGTGGGGGAGGGGCAGAGAGAGAAGGGGGACAGAGGATCCAAAGTGGGCTCTGTGCTGACAGCAGAAAGCCCAATGCGGGGCTCAAACTCACGAACCACAAGCTCACTACCTGAGCCAGAGTCGGAAGTTCAACGGACTGAGCCACCCAGGCACCCTGAATTGGATTTATTGATCATTTTCATTTGTGCTCATCTGTTGGGTGGTAATTCTGAAATTCTGGACTCTGAACTTTTTTTTTTTTTATTTTTTTTAATGTTTATTTTTGACACAGAGAGAGACAGAGCATGAGTGGGGGAGGGGCAGAGAGAGGGGGAGACACAGAATTCGAAGCAGGCTCCAGGCTCTGAGCTGTCAGCACAGAGCCCGATGCAGGGCTTGAACCCACAGACCGTGAGATCATGACCCGAGCTGAAGTTGGATGCTCAGCCGACTGAGCCACCCAGGTGCCCCTGGACTCTGAACTTTTAAAACTTTGCACTTCCCTATTAAGACTGAACAACTTTTCATTACATTTCCTATTTTGTGAACTGCCTATTCAGATATTCCCTGAATATCTGTTGTTTCTAATATTCTTTCATTGTTTCTAATATTCTTAATTCTCTTGGGTTTTCCAAATGCAAGTCACATCAGGGGCGCCTGGGTGGCTCAGTCAGTCGAGTGTCTGACTTTGGCTCAAGTCATGATCTCCCAGTTTGTGGGTTTGAGTCCTGCATCAGGTTCTGTGCTGACATCTCGGAGCCTGGAGCCTGCTTCAGATTCTGTGTATCTCTCTCTGCCCCTCCCCTGCTCATACTGTCTCTCTCTCTCTCTCTCTCTCAAAAATAAACATTAAAAAAAAAAGTTACATCAAGTGGAAATATTTTGCCTCAAGATTTCCAGTATTTATACCCTTAACTTTATTCTCTTGTCTAAATGCAATGACTAATGTTCCCAGAAAAATAGAAAATAATAAAGGTAATAGGAAGCACCTTTGCCTTTCTCCTAATCTTAATAGAAATGATCTTATATTTTACCATTAAATATGATTCTAGAATTTTATTTGAGATATATATTTCTCCATTATGTTGAATAATACTCAACTGTCACCATTTTCCTTAGAGTTTTCATGGGAATGAATATGAGATTTTATCAGAATATTGACTTTCTTCTTTGATTTATTAACATAGTAACTGATATTAATAGATTTCCTAATATTGAATCATCCAAGAATTTCTAAGATAAATTCCACTCCATTTGTCATGGTGTGTTACATTTTTAATATCCTGCTTGATTGATTTGCTAACGTTTTATTTAGGATTTTACACGAATGTTCATATAAGTCAGATTGGTCTGCAGTCTTCTTTAGGCTTTAATGTTTTGGTGTTAGTAACAAGAAATGAGATTTCCTTCTTTTTCTATGCTATAAGTTTGAACAACATCAAAATATCTCAAAGAATTTATTTATAAACTATCCAAAGTAGTGCTTTCTGGAAAGATAGTACCAAATAATTTTCTGTTTCTTCCATGGTCATTGGGCCCTTTAGGTTTCCTCTATTTTTTTGAGTCAATTTGGCCATTTGTATTTTCATAGAAAATTATTTATTTCAACCAGATTTTCTAACTCTTCAGCTTAAGGTAATACAAAAATATCCCTTTTCATTTTTAGTTCCAATTACATTTATGATTTTTTTCTTCTTTCTTATTCCTAATTTTCACTTTCCTCCATTTTTCCTTTATTCCATTAGTTTATTTTCATTTTATTTTATTGTGGTTTCCCCTTATAGGGCTATAAGCTGGAATTTAAAGGATGATTAAGAGTTTATCAGGCAGAGGGGCAGCTGGGTGACTCAGTCAGTTGAGCATCTGACTTTTGGTTTTGGCTCAGGTCATGAGCTCATGGTTTGTGAGATCAGGCTCTGCACTGACAGTGTGGAGCCTGCTTGGGATTCTCTCTCTTCCTCTCTGTCTCTCAAAATAAATAAATAAACTTTTTTTTTTAATTAAAAAAAAAAAAAAGAGGGGCATCTGGGTGGCTCAGTCATTTGGGCATCCAACTTCAGCTCAGGTCACGATCTCATGGTTCATGAGTTTGAGCTGACCAGGCCCTGGAGCCTGCTTCAGATTCTGTGTCTCCCTCTCTGCCCCTCCCCACTTGTACTCTTCTCTCAAAAATGAATAAATATTAAAAAAAAAAATGAAATGAAAAAAAGAGTTTCTCAGGCAGAGACATCTCCGAAGGCATCTCCGAAAGAGTAGACAAAATGGGCAGAAATCTGCAGGTTTGAAATAGCTTAGGGTATTCAGTGAATTGTATCTTGGGTCGGCTAGGATGGTGATTCAGGGGTGGGAGGAGGAAGCACCAGACTAGGAAGGAATCCCACCAGGGAGTGTCATTCTACCTCTACCTCATCTTTGCAGCATGTCCTCAGGACCCAAATGCCTGATGGGAACACCTCATTGGCCCAACCCCAGCTTTCGGAGGGTAGGAAGAAAGTGTATCTGGTCCTTTGGGCTCCTGAAGAGAGCATCGGAGCTCTACTTTCTATGAGGACTCACAGGGAGGTACTGAGAGGAGAAAAGAGAGGGAGGCTGGTTCCACCAGAAGACACTACTGGGTAGCCAGAAGAATGATAAATATCAACTGTGTGGAGTCACTGAGATCTTTTAACTGGGGAGAATGCCACATTCAGATCTGTGTTGCTAAGGCTTGTTTTTCAATATTTTGGAGTAGACAGCCACCTCATTATACAGGTGAGGGAACGGGCCAGGTGAGGACCTGAGACAAGCCCGAGAGCACAGAATCATCAAGAGTTGGGATCAGAGTGCCACCAAGTTTTCTAGGTTTAGGAAAATTTAAGAAACACTCTGAAGGAAAGAAATGCAAAGTATCTTTACCTGAAAAGAGGAGGTAATGGTATCTGTGAAGATTAAAATGATTCAATGCATAGGGGGCACCTGGGTGGCTCAGTTAAGCGTCCTACTTTGGCTCAGGTCATGATGTCACGGACCCCTACAGTTACAGTGGCTTGTTCCTTGTCCTCAATTTCATTTCTGAAATTTTTCGCAATATACTGTTTTGGTTCAGTTTGGGGTTTTTTGACATGAGGATACTTTTTCTTAGCTGGGATGAGAGGATATAAACGGTAAAACAATAAAAATATTGGAAGAAAACTGTAAGTTCAACCTGAGGGAAACTTCTTAATACAGGAAACAGAGGACTTAAAAGATAGATGCACTGTATTTAACTACACACAAACGTGAATTTTCCTGATGGAAAGAAACATCATATCAGAAGATAAACAATGAATTGGAAGAAAATATTTGTTAAAACAAAAAAGTCAGGTTACTATCTCTAACAGAGAAAAAACTGATTTTTTAAAAAGGTGATTTTGAAAAACATGCAGAAAAAATGAACAGGCAATTCATAGAAGAGGAAATACTATTGACCAATAAATGTATGAAGAGATCCTCCCCCTCACTAGATATGGAAATGCAAAATAAAACAACAGTGAGATCTAACTTTTTAGATCTCAAATTGATCCAATTCATCAAATTGGAAAAAATATGACAGTATCCAGTGCTGACAAGCACATTCTTGAACATCTGAGTTTCAACCATATCTTTGGAGAGCAATCTGATAATATATAGCAGAAAAAATAGTTAAAAAAAATTTTTTTTAATGTTTATTTTTTACAGAGAGAGAGAAAGAGACAGAGCATGAGCAGGGGAGGGGCAGAGAGAGAGAGAGACACAGAATCCAAAGCAGGCTCCAGGCTCTGAGCTGTCAGCACAGAGCCTGACACAGGGCTCGAACTCACAGACCGTGAGATCATGACCTGAGCTGAAGTCGGACGCTCAACCGACTCAGCCACCCAGGCGTCCAGCAGAAAAAATTTTAACGTTCATATTCGTTGACCCAGTAATCCAACTTAATTTAGAAAAAAGTATTCTGACAATAGAGCCTTTAGTGTCTCCCTGTATAGGTGTCTTACCTTTTTTGTCCTCTCTCCTCTCCAGCATACCTCACTTGATAAACTATCTCATTTCCCAGCCAGCTGGACCCTCATGCCCAAGCCTTCCTCCACCTGACTTAAGCCAACTTAAGCTAGTCCCTGGAACAGGGAGATGGTCTTGGAGCCTGGAAGGCCTTGTCTAGGAATCCCCATGTGCTTTCAGGAAATCGAGGCCAAGGACATCACTGGAGCCAACGTTTGCTTTGAGTTTCTGCAGCTGCTGACAACGTGCCGGACCCTGATGGCACCTGGCAGAGGCTGCTTGGTCCTGGCCATTCTGCTGGCAATGGTGGACATCCGACTTGGTGGTGAGGACAGCCCACCCCCAGATCCCCAGAGCAGAGACAGCCATCAGGGAAAATCCCATACTCGTGAGAAGGGATGGATCCCAAGATTTTTTTCTCTGGTGGGGAAGAAAAGAACCCACTGCCTCTTGACACTAGTGAAAGGGCAAAAACAGAGTTTCATGTTTTTTGTTAAAACGAATACTGTTGCCCACCCCATCAGACATTCTGCCCCTGTGTGTTGCTATGTGTTGCTGAGAGCCTGGTAATCTGGACCTCAATCGAAGATTCATTCTTTCAGCATCTTACACATTTCCAACTTTATGAATCCCGGGTTTGAGACTCAGATACTACAATATGTGTCAAGTATATAACCCATTTAACCCCCATGTACCTCAGTTTATAAAATGGGAACAACACGTGTCTAGGGCTATACCGAGGATTAGATGTATACAAAAGTACTTTTAGTAAAGGTCCTATGCAAGTTCCATTTGGAGAGTAGAAATAAAATAGAAGTCATTTCTGAATTAATGAATAACTGGGATTGCAGGTCTCCCTCAGATAGGGGTATAGGCTGTAGACTACTCGTCTAAGGGGTGGTATTTAATGTCTGTTAGCCTCCACGTCTGCTCAACATTTCTCTGTGAATGAATTAGTCGGCCATGTATACCCGGCCTCCTGGGCCTAATTCCTCCCCCTTCCCCTTCCAGGGTGCTTGCACATCCTCAGCTCATTTTCCCAGGATGGAAAGCAATTAAGCTTGATCTGTACTTTGCGGCATACAAAAGAAGAGGCTGAGGGTGCTATAGTGTTTTTGTGCAAGGACAGGTCTTCGGGCTGTTTCCCTGAGACCAGCCTGCGGCAACTGAGACTTCGACGGGATCCCAGGGAAGATGGCATCAGCGAAAGATCATCTCAGTTGGTGTTCACCATAAACCATGCCACACCATCGGACAGCGGGACCTACCAGTGTTGTGCCACAAGCCAGAGGCCAGATATGCGCCTTCAGGGCCACTTTTTCTCTGTTTTAGTCACAGGTAAGCTCTGATCTCCCAAATGCCACCAGATGAGATAGTAAGCAGGGTCGGCGGCTGGAGCCAGAAGTAGTTACTTCGGGTCCCGGGTAGGAGTCTCCTTGGGGGAAGAGTCTTTCCCATGACTCAGTCATTTCCCACCAGTCCCACCAGCAAATGCCACCTCTCCTCAAAGCATGGATACAAAAGTGGTCTCATTTTGTCTTTAATTTTAAAAATCTTACTGAGGTAAGCCATTCAATTTTGATTGACGCTGAGACTGAGTCACAAGAAGGTAAAGCAAATTGTTCAATTTGTCTCACTGACCAGTGCCAGTAGAAGCAGATAGAGGTCTGGAATTTAGGCTTCTTGGTTCTGATTCAGAGATCTCTCACAAATGTGGTTCTATTTCTAAATATAGGCACTGAGCCTTCAGGCTGTGATAGATACGGATTTTAGATAAAACGGATGGTTGTCTTAAGAGCATTAGTTTTAAGATCTTAGTTTTAAGAAACAGAAACCCACCCAAGCTGCCAGAGGTTAAAAGGAAAAAAATAATAAAACAGGAAGCATAGCTGGCATTTATGAGTTTTGTTTCTGGAATCAGACACCAGAAATCCAATAGAACTTAAAAAGAGTTACGATCTCAATGTCTCTGGGGCAGCAAGGCCTCTCATCTCTGCATATTTCCTTCATTTTGTGCATACTCCCCTATTCTGTTACTACTTTGACAAAACCTAAATATGGTTACTCCAGCCTCAGCTTTATATATGACTTCCTCATATACCCCGCAGTGCGTGACTCTGTGTTTCTATATTCCGAAAGGAGCAAGCCTTCAAAACTGAGAATTATGTTCTTTTTAAAATTTATTTATTTTGAGAGAGAGAAAGAGCAAGCAGGGGAGGGGTAGAAAGAGAGGGAGAGAATCCCAAGGAGGCTCCATGCTGTCAGCACAGAGTCTGAGGCAGGGCTTGAACTCATGAACTGTGAGATCATGATCTGAACCGAAACCAAAAGTCGGACGCTTCACTGAGTCACCCAGGCACCCCGAGAATTATGTTCTAATTGGAATTGTATACCCAACCAAACTACCAATCAAATGTGAGGAAAGAATAAAGACAGACATGCAATGACTGGAAAAGAAAAAAAAAGCCATCAATGTGATCTTAAGAAGCCACCAGAGGTCTGCTTCAAAAAAAAACAGGAAAGTAAATAGGTAGAGTGGATAAAATGGGATCCAGGAAAGTAAGGACTCTAATAGGGAAAAGAGATAAGGAAACCCTGGAATGGAAAAGGGCCAAAACAGGCAATTAGTCCAAAAGGAACAAGAGAAAGGGGACTCTGGAAGATGTATAGTGGGTAAAAATTGAATTGATAGGTCTCCTTTCTGAAGGCCTGTGATAGATTGGATGAAGGATTAAAGACATAGATATGGAAAATTTTGCCTGGTTAAAAAAAATTAAAGTCATCATTATCTCCAGGGAAAACACTACATTTTACAAAAGGAAGCCTAATCATGGCACACAACTTGGCTCTGTAATAGGTAACATTTACAGAAACCAGATCATCTAAAAATTAATTTAACTAAAATGTGTAATATAATGATTTGTGAAAGATGCAGAAATGGGGAAGGAGGTAGAGGTTTAAGAGAAACATATCCTCATCTTCTTTAACAGAAAATCAATAACGTCTAAACTTTATCATCAAGAAGTGGCAATATAAGCGCACTATTTCAGAATATCGTGAATGAAACAGGTCAGAGTTGACAGTGGTTGTCTCTAGGGAATAAGCATAGGAAGACTAAAGGACACTGTTATTATGCTCTATGAACTTTCAAGTACTATCTTATGTTTTAACTTTAAGAAAAATAGAAATAAATTACTTCCCTCCCAAATAAAAACCCAGCCTGGAACCTTTTAACAAATGCTTTCATCATCTCCTATGGTTAGCAGTTAACCCACATTTTCTACTGCAGTCTAGACTAATTTAGAGTTTCTTCCTTGCTTCCTGGTACCTTCCTCTCTGACCCTGCTTCCAGTCAGCCCTCCCATTCCCCCCCTTACCAAACTCCCAGTCTCTATCAGCTTCTGTGACTCTGTACTTCCCAGGTTTCCTACCTGTCTGTTCTCTCTTCGTCTGTCACTATTTCCTCCTCCCACCTCTCAAACGTGTGAATTCATTCCCTCAGACTCACTCCTCACCTCTTCAATCTTTGTGCTCTCTCCTAAGTTCTCATACCCTCCTGATTTTAACCTGCACCTCCCTGCAAACTGACCCATGAATCAATTTCTCCAGCTCTAACTTCCTAAGTTTCAATTTAATGTTTTCACTGACAACTGTCCCGCTTGCCATCTCCTCACACTCAACCTGAGACCCTAGTTCTGCCCATGATTTACAGTTGAAATCTTGGTGCCTTTTTTCTCTTCCCCATCCAGTCAGTTACTAAATACTACTACTTCTTTCCTACTTTCATTCCTTTCTTCCCAAAGGGGTTTTCCAAGTCTTCATCATCTCACACTGAAAATATTCCAAGTCTCCTGACAAGCCCCTTGAAATCCGAGTGTGTCTCGTTCATCTTTATTTCTCCTCCCACATCCTACCTCTGGACCTGGAACCGAGCCGTTACCTAATAGTCCATCAACTCTAAATACCATCTGTCTTCAATCCACATTGCCATCTGATCTCTTTCTAAAATGCTAATTTGTACATGCCACACCACTATTCACAGAGTGTTAAGGGCTTTCCAGTGTCTACAGGACGATGTCTGAATCACTTTTGCCTGGTATTGGACACTCTATACAATTTCATTCTACCATTTATGTGAATCCTGTTCCAGCTGATTTTACTAGTGGAAACTCCTCTGTCATTCTTCTCATACTTGTCCTGTTGATTGTGCATCCCACAGGCACAGTGCTAAGCTTGCAGAACCGAATCGGAGCAGAAAAGCCCTTCTCCTTATAAGCTAATCTATGTAGTCTATAACCTAGTCACGTTCTCCTAATACACCCTAAGCATTTCTACTTGTGATGGCTGTGAGATAAAATGCCTTTCTCATCCTCTCGGTTTGAGTATTAGTGTCAGCACATATGGATGCTCACCAAATGCAGAGATGAAGTTCCTTTTGGAGGGTGAAACAAAGCTGGACAGGTAACATAGTGTCTGTAAACAATGTCTACCATTTACTGAGTGCTGTGTGCCAGGCATTGCGCTGAACGATAGATCAATTCTTTCGATCTTCATGGCCTTTTTGAGGTTGGGCCTAATCTTGTCACGTGAAAAGTCAGGCTCAAAGCTAATCTGGGTAAGTTCATTCAGCTAGTAAATGGTAGATAAAAACCCAGATCTATTCCAAAGCCCAAGATTTTAACTTCTGCTAAACTGCTTGACACACTCCAGAAGATAGTTTTTAAATGAGATTTGGGGGCAATCAAGTCCAAGGTGACTAAGCTATGTTAGCTGTCTAACAAGACTCGGGCGCTCGCGTGGCTCAGTCGGTTAGGCGTCTGACTTTGGCTCAGGTCATGATCTCACGGTTCATGAGCCCGAGCCCCGTGTCGGGCTCTGTGCTGACAGCTAAGGGCCTGGAGCCTGCTTCGGATTCTGTGTCTCCCTCTCTCTCTGCCCCTCTTCAGCTTGCACTCTCTCTCTCAAAAATAAACAAACATTAAAACATTTTTTAAGAAAATAAGACAGATTTTAAAAGGTACAATCAAGGGGCGCCTGGGTGGCTCAGTTAAAAAACGTCTGACTCTTGGGGCGCCTGGGTGGCTCAGTCAGCTGAGCGTCCGACTTCGGCTCAGGTCACGATGTCGCGGTCCGTGAGTTCGAGCCCCGCGTCGGGCTCTGGGCTGATGGCTCAGAGCCTGGAGCCTGCTTCCAATTCTGTGTCTCCCTCTCTGCCCCTCCCCCATTCATGCTCTGTCTCTCTCTGTCTCAAAAATAAATAAACGTTAAAAAAAAAAAATTAAAAAAAAAAAAAAGTCTGACTCTTGATTTTGGCTCAGGTCATGATCTCAATGGTTTGTGAGTTGGAGCCCTGCATCAGGCTGTGCACTGACGGCACAGAGCCTGCTTGGGTTTCTCTCTCCCTCTCTCTGCCCCTCCCCTGCTCATGCTCTCTCTCTCTCTCTCAAAATAAATAAAATAAACATGAAAAAAAAATAATAAAGTTCAAGGTAGGCCTGTTTGTATCCCCAGTGTGACACACAGTAGATTCTGTATCAGTTCACTGCTGCTTAATTAAGTAAATCATCATCACTACCCATAAATGTTAAAAAATATTTATTTGGGGAATAAATTGTGCTGAGAGCTATCCTTGGAGATAAAACAAACAAACAAACAACAAAAAACCAAAACCAAAACAAACAAACAAAAAAAACCCCAACCATCCTGAGATGATGCAAAAGGAGGTATTAATGATTTCTGAAACCCTCACCTGATCCACTGATTCTCTTTTGAACCAGAGGCAGGGAACTACACAGTCAAAGGATTGAAGCAAAGAAGACACCTCGAGTTCACTCACAGTAAAGGCACTCCCAGTTCAGGCTTCCTGCAAAAGGTCTGGGTGATGCTGGCCACTAGCCTGCTGGCCCTTCAAGGTATGTTCAGAAGAGCCTGAAGCACCTACAATGAGGGTGCTACACCTTTGACACCTGGAGTATCCTCCAGGAGGTGATGGGTGGAAAGGGAGACTAGAGTGGGAGACTGAAATGCTGCTCAAGCCCTGGCCGTCCACAGGAAACCATCGAACCAACACGAGGGCAAAACTGGTCCAAAGGGACTCAAGACTTCATATTACCCAGAGGAAGATGGATGAAACACATTTTCCACTGGATAGGAGGTCAGACCTATTAGGAAAGAAAGCTTGTAGGAGAGGCAAATAAATAAATACAGCTGCCTCTCTCCATTGGACCAACAGCAGGCTACAAGTAAAGGCAAGAGGTATTTACCTATTAGGTGAAGAACAAGGCAAGAGACAGACTGGGTCTGGAGGTGGGTTGTAGAAGTGCAGCTCCTTGGCAATGGGTGATGGGCAGAGTATATAAACACTTGGAACTGAGTCCTCTGCAGATCACAAATTTCCCTATTAGGTAACAGAGACTGGAACTCATGATTTGTCATTACATTTTTGTATAATCAGCACTGATGCAGGATTTTGCCTGTCCTTGGCATTCCTAATTCCATTTTATTTAAGCTTTCCTCAAATCAATAACTACCACAGTTCGTGTGCCACCGGTCTCATTTACCCCAACAAAGACAGTACCAGGCACATAGTAAGCTCTTAATAAATTTTTTTAAAAGAAAACTCATATGATGGGTTAGGTTTTACATATGGGGATTCTAACCTCATCTCATTCTTCCGGGCAAACATTCCCTGATCAAGAAACAGGCACAAAGAGATTGTTTCTCCGGTTCATGGGAATTAACACAGGACCTTCTCACTCTAAAACCGTGTGCTCTCAGTAATTACCTACTATATGCTAAGCACCTTCTCTCTCTCCTTTACCACCCTCCCCATTCTGAGATTGCCTCCTCCCGTTTCCAGAAAGAGGACCACCTAGAACTCCCTACTCCAGTCCCTTAACTGCAAAATAGCAAAAGACCTTATCTGTGATCCTTGGCAAGGAGTTGCCAAATGGAAGCCTGTGACAGTTCTCAAGAGGAAACTGGTGAATATCAAGCAGTCTGACCCTTTAGACCGAATTCTTTACTGAATCTAAATTCCCTCAGATGGTCAGGCTACTCTGTCAGTAAAATAAATGTCATTTCTTCATAAATAAAAACTCTGAAAACGAAATTGCAATCTATGACCGCTTACCACCTTTGACTTCCAAGTTATGCTAGAGCAAAGAATCTCTCTGCTTTCCCCCTTTCCAATCGGGTGTTAAGAATGAACTTTTGATAGTTGGTGCCTTTTATCTTTCTCCCCCCAACTCAAGACCTAGCAGAACTACGGAAGAGGCACTGTTCAGGAGGCATCCTTTTGGACACACGTTTTCTCAGGTCCAAAGAGATCACGCAGATCAAGTTACCATCTTACACATGATCGAAACGATGATGAGGGAGTTCCCTGGACCTCTGGGCCTCCCTCCACTCATGAAACCACCTTCAGTGAATGTCCCTCTCCTAACACTGTGCCAGCCTTTGGTGCTACACATGGAGAATCCACCTGCAACTTTTTGAGTGGCACTGATTTCTTCTTTGATTGCCCTACTTTCCTGCAAAGAGACTTCAAAGGTTGGCATCCTCCCACTTCCACCAAAACCAGCCAGATTTGCTAGAGGACGCAAGTGCAATGTTAGCAATAAGATACAACTCATATAACCCCTTCCTTCTTTCCTTTCCATTCCCTCCTGAGTCACAAGGACCAAATAATGAATTACATCAGGTATCTAAGTTGTGTGGCAGTAATACCAACTTTCTTTTTTCTTCCTACAGCTTTGTAAGCCTGTGCCAGAAACTTAAAAAAAAAGTTACAGCAAGATTAGCCTGACTCTGTAGCTTGCTGCCTTTCACATTGCCACATACAGAGAAGGCGGCAGCACAGGGAAAGAGATGCTAAATACGCCAAGAACCTGGGGAATAGAAGGTGGGGCAAATGAGCATATTCCTTGACCTGCTCTCCTCACCATCAGATCAAAGCTTTCTTCCCACCCTGTCACCAGTTAAAAGAACAGCTGTTACAAAAGTGGATGGTGTACAGTTCTCACTCAAATATTGGATAAGTATGTGTGGTTTTGTGCCCAAGAAAAACGTTTTCCTTCCCCCTCCTCCAACACAGTAAACAAGGAAGCCAAACAAAATGAGAACACCAACTTTTTTGGAAGAGATTTTTATTTGACACTAGAAAGAAGAGAGAAGAAACAGGCAAAGATAGGTAGGAGAAGAAAGCCAGAGCCAGTGACTGACTCAGCACGAAACCAAGGAAATGAAGAGACCCTGGCATTGGGCAGAAGCCCCCCCTCCACCCAGCGCAGCTGAAGGAAGAAACAGCTGTGTGCCAAGCCGCAACACGGAGCATAAGTGCCCAGCTTCAACCATGTTTTTGTCCATCTCTTTGGTCACATCTCTTTCCTTTTAAATAAATGCCCAAAGCAATATTTGCAGCCTTCTCTTTTCTCCTAAAGTCACAAATCCTCTTGTCTTTCTCTCTGGACAGATGGCCTCTTGTCCTAGTTAAGCAAGGAGTGAGAGAAGGAGTTGGGGGGATGGCAGGATATTCCTGACAGGAGAAACTTTGTGAATAAACAGATAGGAACACAGACAATTTAACTGGAGCTAAATGGGAAGCCATCAAAAGCAAACAGACACCTTACCTGTGATCCTTGGCCAGGACCTGCCAAATGTGGGAGCTACGGTTTGTGGGAAGAGGGAGAGAAAAGGCTGAAAAAGATGGGTTAGACCCTTATTAGTGATGGCTTGACCCTCAAACTAAGTAAGGATTTTGGATTTTGTGGCTTATGGAGGTAAAAAGAGGAGGCATGGAGTCAAAACATCTGGATTCAAACTCTGGCTTTGCAATGTACCAGCTCTGTCTGGGTCCTTGGGCCAATGAAATTTTGATATGCTATTTGTTTACTTATCTGTAAATGGGATCTTGCCTACGCTATCTTCTGTTTCCACAGGATCGCTCTGAGGTTCAAATGAGATTCTGGATTTTAAACCTAAAGCCATTTGAATACGGACTCCAAAGTCTCCAAAGCTTTCTCCATTATATTATGTTCACTTTAATCTTTCTCTACCGGTTTTATGTATGTTCTGTGTTTCTAAATTTTAAGCTCACATGGATGACATCTTTTGCTTTTTACTATTCAAAGAATCTTCTGAAATTTCTCAATATTACACAATCACTGGAAATTTCACAAAGAAGCTATGGAAAAAGTTTCACCCATTTTGCTATACTAATATAGGTCACACATAAATATCTGCAAAAGGATACATGATTGCTGCAAAAGCTTGTCAAGACATTCAAGAACATTAGACTATTAGCTCTGACTTGAACTAAGCAGAATAAGTAAAGCAACAGTAAGTTAGAAGTCTCATTTCTAAAGAATTTGTTTTGTTTATTCTGCTTATCTAAAGATTTGGTTAAAATGGAAATGTGAAATACTTCCATCTTGCCTTCAAAAATTATTGATACCACTGATTTCAAATAAGCCTACAAATTTCCATCCATGAATAGGTCGTTTTCTGAACACACATCTTAACCTCAATCTATAGGAGTGATTCACAACCCATGCATGGAATGTGAACCTCTGTGAGGCCACGGACTTATTACAAGGAATCTACTTCAGCATTACCTTCAGTCTGAATAAATAATACTAGCTTACAAATATTTATATACTATATTTCAACTGGATATAGATTATGGTGTTACTAATAAAGACAAACTGATTTTAAAGCATTACCGAGGGGCGTCTGGCTGGCTCGGTCAGAACAGCATATGACTTTTGATCTCGGGGTGTGAGTTCAAGCCCCACATGGCGTGTAGAGATTACTTAAATTTAAAAAAACTTAATGAAAAATACTAAAAAAAAATAAAAGCATTACTGAAATCACAGCAGCTTTTGTTATGTATTTTTTCATTAAAAAATCCTAAAAATACAACAATCATCTTGTTATGAGGAGTCTAATAATTTTTGGACCCTAAAATTGGTACATCTTATTAGAAAAGGTAAAGAACCACAATCCTACACCCCATGAGTCACAAATACGCAGCTGAAACAGGAAAGGCAACAAACATATAGACTCTACTTCCGTGGATACCAACTAAGTGCAATTTGGCAAAACGTTATAAAGTTTGTATGTATATAATCTTAGAGTTGAATGACTATAATTCCATGTATCTGGCAGGTATGAGAGATCAAAACCTCATAATGTCCTTTGGATAAGACAAGGGCTCTAAGTGGATCCTAGAAAATATCTCCACTGTACACAGTCTCCTTTAAACCCTTGGAGCAGCCCTGTGCTTCCCAGGCTGAGTGCTAAGACACTGACATTACTATAAGCTATACTTTCCCCCCACAGGATGGCCACTTGTGATATATTCCCTCAAGTTCCTGCCTCAGAAGTTACGTGAGAATCATTCTGGAAACTCTCCTTATGAGTATGCTTCCTGGGGTGCCTGGGTGGCTCAGTTGGTTGAGTGTCTGACTCTTGATTTTGGCTCAGGTCATGATGCCAGGGTCATGGGATCGAGCCTTGCTTCGGGCTCCACACTCAGTGTGGAGGGTTAGGATTCTCTCTCTCTATTTCTCTGCCCCTGTCTCCCACTCGTACTCTCTCTAAAAAGTAAAATCAAATAACAGTGTAGAATTATTTAAAAAAAAAAAAAAAAAAAAAAAAAAAAAAAAAAAAAAAAGAGTATGCTCTTCTGCTAGTCCCCAAACTCCCAAATCCCTGTTGGTTTATTCTGGTGAAAAGCACTCGTATCTTCCCATGTCCCTACTTCAGAAGCCAAAGAGGGCTTTCCCTCTCATCTGACTATCTATTTACCAGCCCTGCTCCTTCTCCTAACATGTGTCTTCCTTCACAGATGTCAGTGGCCTTTCTAGATCAGCTCTAAAAACTCTGAACAAGGAGGGCACCTGTTGGGATGAGCACCGGGTGTTGTATGGAAACCAATTTCACAATAAATTTCATATTTAAAACAATAATAATAAAAAAAACTCTGAACAGCCCCTCCTTTCCAAAAGCCCCAAAGGCTGTTTTGTTGTTGTTTAAAACCAGACACAGGGGCACCTGGGTGGCTCAGTCGGTTAAG